TAAAGTCTTTCCCAGTTCCGTCTGTTGTTCTCCAACTTTCTCCCCGAGGTCATTATGAACAGATGAACTTCGTCACCCCCAGCCGGTTAGGCCCTTCCTCTCATGATTACAATCACTCCTCATTTTTTGTGTATCCCCCCAAGGTTGTTCAGCCGCATGTAGAGATCGTCGTCTCAAAGTCAAGCCCCTCTAATTAGTGCAAGCTGCTTCCGCTGGGAATGTCCATCTTGTGTCTCCCCAGGAGTTATTATCGGGCCGCGAACACAATCGCTTTCTCTGAATGACAAAACACACGCACATCCATCTGCATCAAACACAACTGATTAAAACCTTGCATGTTTTCTCTCTCTCTCTCACCTGACTTTAAATGTAGGGCCAGGGTTTCATTAAGAACTTATTGTCAGATAAAAACAATTTATTATATGCTAAAAAAAAAAAGAAAAGAAAAAGACAAATATGTGTATAAAAACAATTGCTTTGGTGTGATGAAACATCTTTGATTCATTTCCGCTTTCTTCATAAGTTCTGCAGGACAACTTTTTGTCTCCTATCTGCAAAAGCAAGCCCACAAACGCTGGTTGTGCTTGTTTATGCCATAAACCACAATTCAACTTGCAACCACTTGGCTTCAAAAGGTTTTTTTTTTTTTGGCACCCAACAATGTGAAGAAGAAGCAGCAGATCTACTTTCAGACTCTCGCCGATAGAGAAAGTCGTCACTTCATCTCAGTGAGCAGGCAACATTAAAATGGTGTGAAAAAAATAATTTGGATCTTTATGTATTTTGTCTGTTTCGCTTGTTTTTGTGCCCTTCTTTTAGTGTTTCAGATCAAAATATTTTAAAATCAAACAACGACCGGAGTAAATACACAAACTAGCTTTCAAGTTATTGAAGGTAAAATGCTTCCACACCAGCCTTTCACTGTTTTTAGAAAACACGGTGCTTTTTCACTGTCAGTTAAGAATTAATAATGAAAAAATAAAAAAAAATCACTTCTTCGGTTTAAAATCAGCAGCAGTGCTTATGCCATGCCGACTGAAGCAGCAAAATCAAGACATCATTTGAAATTTTTTCGAACCCGTCTGACGACACAGCGTAGGTTAAAGCAACCCTCGCATTCACATCCCGGCTCGGTTCAAATGTTAGTTGCTGTTTTTCTTGATCCAAGCGAAGCGCCAATTGATTTTTCTCCCATGTCCTCAGCGGTATAATGGACCGTGATTATCTCCCTGCTCACCCGGGGTCCGTCTTCCTTAATGAGGAATAATTCACTCTTTTATAAATTCCCAGAGAACTACGCGGTGACAAAAGATCTGCCACAGTGAGAAAAGTAGAAGTTTAAAAGGAGACAACTGTTAACACTTAAAGTGTGCATCGTTACGTGCATGAAAAGGGAAGAGTTTGTTGTTGTTTTTTTTTGTCTTTTTTGCATTTTCCTGGTTAATTTAATTAACCAACATAAATATGTTTGTGTTATTTCTTTTGCAAGTAGATCAGGGTCGGATTTCCTATTTTTCCACCTCAATTGCTTTGCATTGAACATGAACTAGTAACAGTGAAGTTCACACGTTTTATTGCAGTGAGTGAGCATCACATGACAACAAGCGCATGGATGGAGATGAAACTAGAAAAATTCAAGAATGTTTGGGCCAAAACTTTAGAAGCCATTTACCCGATTACTAAAACATCCCATTTATTGCAATTTTTTTTAAATCCTTTCTGCAATAACTCCTCACTTGTGACATATATGTTGGAAATGACACAACTGCACTGGGTAATCCTGTCGGTGAATTTGACCCAGTGTCATTGAGTTTATCTTTGTTACAGCTGGAACAGTGTAATTATTACACATTCTCAGTTGACTAGTCGGCACTTCCACTCAACGTTCTACCTGCTCGAATTTATTTCCGTAATTAGGGTCTGCATAAAACCACAATCTGTCTGAAAAATGTCGCTGAACTATTTTTACCCTGCAGGTTAAAAAGTATCCAAATTGTACGTATTCACATACTAATTATTCATAAGAAAGTTTGGATGTGAGAGAGAAGTAGTAAGATTAGTTTTCTTTTATTTTCCTGTCTATTTCTCTTTTTTTTTTTTTTTCTTGAAGGGTGAAGGAATATGTCTAGCTCACAAGATAATACGCAACAATAAATAAATAACCAGATAAGATTTTTGCAATACTTTTAAGAAATGTTTGGGGGGAAAAAAATGTAATGTGTATATTACACAAATAAAGATTTCTTGTGTTTGTAAAAATATGTAATCAGGGCATAATTACTTAGCCCAAGATTACTTTCATAAGTCGAAATTAGAGACTCAAATGTAAATACAGCGGGATATCAAATTTAAAGCTCAGACCTTCATGTCAGCACCAAACGTCACTTTATTAAAAAGACATTTAACAGGAAATGTTGAATTAAAGCCGTCTTTATCCCCCCAAAATTCCAAATGGATCCTTCCTATTGCAGTGCTTTTCCATGAAAATGACTGAAAGACCCGCCGACAAATTCACCAACTCTGTTTTTGTTCCGTGAAGGCATTTCATGTGAGCTCCTGTCAAAATGTGCTCCTTAATAATTATGTCAACCTCACTTGAACACCTCGGTGCTAAACTGCAGAGATGCTGCTTTTCAGCAATTCAACTGGGACTTGACCTCAACCATTAATCACTACAAATTAGACATTGTTTATCAGGTTATTTACCTTTTTTTTTTCCCCCTCCAAGGAACAACGTGATTGTGAACTTTGGGTTACAGCTACATTAGAAGATGCTTTGATGTCCATCAGCTGTGAAACACTGAAGCTACTGCTTACTGGAAATGTAACAGAGAACCCCGATTTTAAAACATATGCTCAAGTCATGCAGGTCCAACTCAATATTTATTAGATTTGTAATACCCCTGCTGACAGTCTCAACAGCTGTGTTCAAGTCTGGCTGGACGATGAACTTCCAGACGCGATTTTATTCATATTCTAGGCTCCTTGTTGTCTAATTTGACATTACATGGTTTGCACTTGTGAATCATCTTTCCCACTGACGAAGGATTGATTTCAAATTGTTTTGAAAACAAAAAAGCCTGATGCTCAGACTCTTGAGTATAAGCAGTTTCATCTCTAACATCATTGCTGACATCTGACATCGTATATTCATCGCAGGTGTCTGGAAAAACCTGAAGGTGCCATCAAAACTTGTATTTTTAATTGATTCTAATCCACTTGGCTTTTGAGAAGAAAACTCGGTAAGCTCTAAGCTTTCCGTGATTGAGAGGAGTGCGGCGATTCATCTGCGTATTAAGTTTCTGACCTTGTGTTTTATGGGAGGATTTCTCTCGCCTCTCGGCCAGCAATAACACAGAAACACACCTGAGCATAAACCTGCTGCTGGAGCACGAGAGAGCAATCAGCGTTCGCTGGTGAATCAGTTTCTGACAGGCGGAGGGCCGAGGCAGCGACAGACACGCGCACGCATTCCCACACAGACGTCCTCCTGCAATCTTAATCTCGCCTCTAAATCAGAAGAGCCTTCCTGTAATCCGCACGACACCACAACCTTTTCGGCACGCTTTCTCGCTCTCCAGCTCATCATGTTTTATGTATTCTGAGCTGCGCGGAGGGGGAAGAGGAACACAGGAAATGGAAAGGAGGTACAGGTGCATCAGGGGATTAAAAAAATATATATTAATAAGAGTGTATTCAAAGGAGAAGTCTGATGCCACTTGAAAATGAGCAAATGTTGCACATCCACTTAAAACCAGTCAATAGTCCAGAGAGAAACAAAGGAAATGAAAAAACTGGGTACTGTAAGGTAAAAGATGACATGCTTTTTGTGTAGATTAGGAAAATTCAAGAATTAAAGGAGGATTATGGTGTCACAATTAAGAATGTAAGATGTGCATGTGGCAAATCTAACTGAAAATAAACACTCAAAACAAGCCTTATTAAAGAACTATCAGTTAAAACAAAAACTAAACACAAAGATCAGTCTTTACCGACCGCCCACTCTAAACTAAACTTTCTACTACACTTACTTGTTCTTAACAATGTGGGATAACCACATCATTTTCTATTATATCCATCACAATCGACACACAGTAGGCCACTGGAACCAAATACTTTATTTGGTCACATAAGTAGAAATTTGTGGTAAGTGTGAGCTTGCAAGGAATGACCACGAGTTCACCTGCCTGAGGAATTATAATCCATTACAGCAGAGTTCTCTCTGGGGAAAAGACTAGTTTTAGTTCGTCCATCTAGTGAGATACAACGCTTCCTAAAGGCAGGCAGCTGACAGAGGTGAAGATGCCTAGAGTGTAGAGTGGATATAGATGGACGATGGGAAAACAGAACCATTAGCCATACGAAAGGAAAGTTGGAGATGACACACCAGGAAACACTGCACAACTACTTTTCCTGCGAATGAAACGCAGGATGAATGAGACATGGCTGCCCCATACATGTACAGCATACACTCAAAAGTAAGATTGTCGTTTTTTTTTTTTTTTGTGTGTGTGTATCCCATGACGATCCGAGTTAAAACCCTAAAGAAGTTTCTAAAGTAATGGAGGCTGCCTCCGACTAGCCTTTGGTTACTGCACAGGCCGAATGCAACTAATGGACAGACATTGCAGACCAAGGAGCATCAGACGAGCCTCCCAGATGCTTTGGCATCAAGAGACGTGGCAGGTATAGATCTCTCACATCAAAAAGGAAGAATATATTTCATCAACATCCTCTAGGCAAAAAAAACAAAAAAAAAACTGTGTGGGTAGCACATATTTTTTGCTCATTTCACACCCTACTGCTGCTAACTTATTTGTCCATCTTGCTTTTTATTGTTTTGAGAATCGCACTCAGATTCGTGGAAAGTTAACGTCTCGCCACCTTCTTGATGCAGCGTAGCCGTTACAATGTGTTTGATTGGAACGCAACAGATGGTTGTCAGATTATGCCTGGAACAGATGATGTCTGTAGGATCAAAAAACAAAAGCTGAACTCACCATTGAACTTGACCGCACGAATGTGGCTGAGCAGCTCTTTGCCATCGATGTTAGCCATGCGTGGGCAGAGGCCCGGGTAGCCGTAGCAGAGCTCTCGGTGCATACGGTGCAGAGCGTGCGCCATCGCGTAGACGGCGTCCATCACAAACTGGACCTTTCCTTCCTGCTCGTAGTTCGAGTCCCTGCCCACTTTTTCTAAACCTGCAAAGGGAGAAATTGGTTGAAAATCGAAATGATTT